ATTTTCTTTGAAGAATATTCGAATATCTTATTCTAATCCCTTAAAAGCATAATCGTTTTCAGACGAATTACTTTTATATATATGTATGTATGTATGTATTGTATTTTAAAAATTTACGCAATACACTAAGCGGAATATTAGTCGTTGACTTATCTAAAAAGGTGTCAGATTCAAGTGCAATTGAATTATTCAAAACTGTTCTTAACTAAGCGGAGACGAGTCGAGGCCGTCGTCGTCGAGTTAAAGTTTTTGATTATTCGGAAAGGCCATTATTCGAATGTAAGCCATTCTTGAAAGAAAACTGTTTTCGTTGGTTCTAATTTACATACGTCTCGCGTGCCACATTTCACGCTGCTAATTAGCTTCTCTTTTTCCCACACAGACACAGACACAGACACACATATATATATATATATATATATATATATATATATGCACGCTCTTTCCTTTCTACATTTCTGTTTATTTTAAATATACTTTTTGATATTTCTTTTCGTTTTTCCTTAACAACGACAACGCGAAACTTACGTTCATATAAAAATAAGCCCAGACCATTTTCTTATTCATCCTATATAAACTTAAGTATCTCTAATTATCTAATTTGTTTTTGATAGAGAGAAAAATATATTTTATATATTTAAAAAAAGAACAAAAAGTAAAGGAAAGTAGTGATAGTAGATACACGGGTAGAACAATTAGAAACAAACAAAAAAATCGAAATGATAAAGAAAGTAATAACGGTTAGTATCTTTTTCTTTTTTTAAGTTGTAGGTAAAACATTTTCGAGTTGTGGGTCAGTTGAATGTAATAAAACGTTGAGAAATAATAATAATAATAATAATAATAATAATAAAAATAGCGACTGTTGGTGCGTCGTTATATATTTCTAGACGTAAAAGTCTCTTTTTATTTGGATTTTTTTCTTGTTCATTTCTTTGCTTATTTCTCTCTCTCTCTCTCTCTCTCTTTCCTTCTCTTTCTCTCTTTCTCTCCTTTCTGTTCAACCACTCGTTTTATTTATACCGGTTAAACACTTCTTTAACCGCACGAACGAACGTGCAAGCCTGCTTCGAATTCGTTCAAACGAATATATCACGACAAATGAGGTAAAAAAAAGAAAAAGAAAAAAAAAATAAAGAAGAAAGAAAAGGAAAGAGGAAAAGAAAAAAAAATTAACGAGCATTACCGAAGTATAATATTACCGTGAAAATCGTGTCGAGATTAGGAAACTCGGTCAGACCGAAATAATTCTCGATATTTCTAATTATTGTCGCAACAACCCTCTACCCATTTTTTTTTTTTTGTTCCTTCTTATTAAATTTTTTTTTTTTTTTTTTTTTTTTTTAACTTCTTCGTTTTTCTTTTTCTTACTTTTTCTTTCTTTTCTTTTTCCACGTGATCGAAGAAAAAAAAATCATATTCTTCTTATCGCTACACAATCGATTGTAAAACAATTTTTATATTTCGCAGTACGAGAGCGTTCTATTTTTTTTTATTAAAAAAAAAAAGAAAAACAAATACGCAAAGAAAAATAATGACGTAGATTTCATTTCTTTATCTTACGAGAAGAGAAAAGAAAAAAGAAGGGGGGGGCGGGGGGTAGGGGAGGAAGGAAAAAAAAAAACCAAAATTATTCAACCCGCGCGGACAATTGGATTCGTTCGAGAAAAATAATAATTTCAATATATTCATCCACACAACGCCGAGATATTCATTCTACGTTGACGAAATAACACGCGTTCTTTTTCTTTTTAATAAAAAAACAAAAAACAAAAAAAAAAACAAAAAGAAGATTTAAAGTAGAAAAAAAGAATACAAAAAAATAAAGATTATGGGGTGAATAGAAAAATGGTTACGTCGCGTCATAACCATGATGCTTTTAGATCGATAGACACACACACACACACATATATATACATCTAAAAAGCGTTCGACGATGTTCACAGGGAATAATACTTTATCGGTATTAAACCGGTATACTTGATAAAGCTGTTAGGTGAAAAGGATTTTCTTCTAGGATGATATTAGAAATGGCAAAAGAGAAAGCAAGAACGAAGAGGAAGAGGAAAAGAGGAAGAGAGAAAGAGAGAGAGAGAGAGAGAGAGGAAGAGAGATTATGGTACTTACAGTTGCTGACTAGATTCTGAAAAGACCCTTGCGAGATGCACACGTTACGTGAAAGTATAAACCTAGCACACCTGCTTCCCCATCGGTTCTCTCGAGGACTATCAACTAATTACCCTATTAATATCCCTAGATTGCTACACGAACGTTTAATATTTTGACTACCCAAACATTTTGCTTTACTGCTTACACGAAACCTTCTTCATTTTCTTTCATTTTATGCATAAGTTTTTGTAATTTTCAAAACAAAATTCTCGAATAATTTCATTTAATGTTTGCTTGTTTGTTTGTTTCATTTTTTTTCACTTATTAATTTATATACATGTTTGTGAAGAAATATGATATCTAATTAAATGAACAATTATAATCGAAGTGACATTTTGAATATGTAAAAAGATATTTATTAATTATCGGCATATATATATATTGGTGCATAGGATGTGTCATATTTTTCTATTGCACGCGTATTTTCGCGTGTACCTTTCGCGAAAGAAAATGATAAGGGGAATAATAAAAGAAAACAAACTGACAAGGATATTAAAAGACACATTATTATTGGCTTTTCCTTGTCGTAAATGTGATTTATTAAATTATCCTTCCGTTTTTTTCTTTTTCTTTTTCTTTTTTCACGTATTTCTCGCTTGTAAGTAAGGAAAAGAATATTACAAAAAGAAAAATGACATGGATATTCAAAGACACGTGTTGTTATTGGTTTTCCTAGCTTTTTAGAAAATGCACGTTAAATTAAATTATTATTTATTTCTTTGTATATACGTTTCGCGTATATACGCAACAAGAAGAAGAATAAGAAGAAAGAAATAACAAAAATAAATGAAAAGTATAATTTCGAAGATGTATTATTGCTACTACTCATTGCGGTTAACGTGGGTAAAAAAAATCAAATGTATTTTATTTCGAGATGAGTTTTCGATTGTTAAAAATGTTGCTTTCAACTAGAGCCATGCATTCCATAAGCCGCGAAAAACTTTTCAAAGAAATATGTATTATAGTTGTAAATAAACGGCTATCGAACGTGAACATAAAAGGTAGCTCCGAATATCCGGCTGTAAAGAGTTGCTGCCTTTCTCGGTGAAACTCGATTTACGTCAAAGTCTCGATATCGGGGAAATATGGAAAATAGCTGTGGGAAGAAGGGGGGGGGGAGGGGAAAGAGAGAAAAAGAAAGAGAGAGAGAGAGAGGGAGAGTGGTTGGTGAAAGTCTTTGTTAATGCGAGTTACGTTTCAACATTGAAAAAAAAGAAACAAGAAAAAAATATTTTAGAAAAATAAATAAAAAAAAATATCTTAAATAACAAAATGAAAAAAAATAATTTTCATTGTGTGTGTTCGTAATTAATTATACATTGAATATTTTTTTTTAGAAATTAATACAATTTTGTTGAAATAAAAATGAATAAAAATTCGAAGTGTTCTGTAAAGATAAAAAAAGAAAAGAAGGGGGATAAATTCTTGACGATTGATATACATTAAATATTAATGTGATCAATGTGAAAAAAAAAAAAAAAAAACAAAAAACAAAATACATATTGGAAAAGAAATGAATTAGTAAGAGATCTTCTGAAATCTTCATGAATAAAATATATATATGGAATATTTAAAAAAGAAATGAATTAATGATATCCCTTTCCGGAATCGTACGGAAAATATAAAAAACAATTCCCGTAATATTATTCACCACATAATATCATATAAAAATAAATCATTCATTATTTTTCGTGTATACTTTATCTAGATAAAAAATCATATCTATCATATATTTATTAAAACAAAATATCTAACAAGATCACTCTTATTGACACAATGGTAGTGAAATTTGTTAAAATTCAAATAAACGGATATCGTCCGGTTCTAAACCCCGTAAGAATAAAAATTAAATATCCGTGAAAAGTTGGATCGGTGAAGTACTATAGGATAGATGCTATATACCTTTAATATATTGAAAATTCGATATCGAAAAAATATGGCATGGTGGTTAACGGTGGAACGTGGAAAAAATAGAAGAAATAAATCGTGAGATAGTTCCAAAGATAGAAAAAGAAAATAAAATAGAGAAAAATAGAGAGAGAGAGAGAGAAAGAAAGGAAGGGGGTGTAGGGTGGGGGATGGTGGGTGGGTGGGTGTATGGGGAGTTGTGAGAAAAGGAAAGGAGGAGTAAAAGAGCTTTAATATGAAGGTGAATAAATACGTTGCCGTGCTTTGTGCACGCGTTGAGCACAGAGGAGACGAATAAGAAGAAAAAGAAATAGAAAAAAAGGAATAAGAATAAGAAGAATAAGAAGAAGAAGAAGAAGAAGAAGGTAGGCAACCAAGTGGGTGGTGGTTGGGAGTATGCGATCGTTACGAAATAAAAGAAATAAACGTAAGAATAGAGTGGAATCTTGTTGGAAGTAGAAAGGATAAAAATAAAGTAAGAGTAAGACTTGGATGGTCTGCTTTACTAGAAAGAAAGAAAGAAAGAAAGAAAGAAAGAGAAGATAAGAGAAAAAGACGGTTTCGCAAAAGGTGGTAAGGCGGTAAGCCGAAGCAAACAAAATTAAACCTTCGTCGTCTCTTTTCTGTGACTCTCTTCTTTCTTTTCTGACACGAAAAAGAATAGCAAAAGGGACTCTGACATGAGAGTAGTAGAAGAATAAGAATAAAAAGAAGAAGAAAGGAGAAAAATTGAAACATGAAAATGGGTAAAAAGGAATAAAAAAGAATATATATATATAAGAAAAATGTAATAAAATGAAAACAAAACGAATGAAAAGAAACAAGAAGTAAGAGGTAAGAAGAAGAAGAAATTTTTAATAGAATTTCAAAAATGATATTATATATTAAATTTGATAGTGTTTCTCTCTCTCTCATTATTATACCTGCAGAAGAGGCCCTTATGAACATGGGTTCGTTATCTTCTCGTCGCCATGATACTCTTGGAGTTGGTCTACCAGTAGCTCTACAACTCAAGGTTGCATTGTCACCCTCCGAAACTGCTAAATCCGCTGTGGTATCACCCCCGTAAACAATGTCCGGTGGTACTGTAACAAAAAATACAACAACAACAAAATAACTATTATTTTTCTTAATATAATCGTAGAAACAATGTGGAAATATAAATACGCTCGAAATAATGAAATGAAAAAAAAAAGAAAAAAGCATACGTTGCCGAAAAGAAAGTGATATTCTTTTGACGAATCATATTTCTTATTCTTCTTTTACCTTTCTCTCTCTTTCTTACTTTGTTCCTGTTTTTTTTTTCTTTTCCCCCTTTTTTTCTTCCGTTAGTATTTTTTTTGCTATTACGTGCCGTAATTTACCCTCGCGAGTAAGTAAAAGAACACGCGGCGGGGGTGTGGGTGATGTGGGGGTGGGAGGTCAGTGTCTACCATTCGAGATGATTGATTACACAAAATGTGGGACGATAGCCGAACTTGCCAGATGATGGGGATGGTTGAGGGTGAGGAAAGAAGAGGGAAGGGGATAGGTATAGGGAAAGGGTACGATCGATTTTGGTTCTCGCAAAATATGAATTAACGATTCCTAGATATATATATATATAAAATTGTCACGTTAGTTTTTCTCCTCGTATATCGTTATAACCCCCTCCCCCCACTCCCCCATCCCCCAACGATAAAATATCTTCAACAAGTTATTGTAGATTTTCGTTGACCTATTACCTTTTTTTTATTCATTTGTGTAAAGGGAAAAAGGGATGAGTAAATGTTGACTGAACAAAATATTATATTTTTGATAAAGTTTCGATAATTTGTAAGAGGAGAATAGAGATAGATAGATAGTTAGTTAGATAGATAGATAAATAGATAATGAAAGTAAACTTTTACAAACCGCAAGCATTCGTGAAGGAAGTTTGTAATGAGATAGACGTTAATATGTAGTATGTTATAATTAAACTCGATTCAGGTTTCTAGGAAATAAAGATCAAGAATAGATAGATTATAGTTAATGGTTTAGATGAATATATAGATTATAATAATTATCATTGTTGATTATGTGTTACTTGGTTTCGTGTAATATAAAAGGATTTTGAATGAGTATATAATATTTTAATTTAATTCGAGAGAGATGATTCCTATATATGATAATTAATTAATTATTATAAATATACACCAACATCTCTGTCAAAAATTTCGAATCATTTTGCATCGATTTTACAAATATATTCATTACAATTTATTTCTTTTTGTTTTTTAAATGAAATAATTAAGTTACATTAATAATAATTATATCAATCGATCTACAATTAGATTCTAGTATTAGTGTGATGTATGTGTGTACATGTGTATGATGATATTTAAAAAACATCGTTAGATAATTATTGCGAAATAAATTTGTTTATGAAAAAATGGGATGGAGGTGGAGAGGGGTGTGATATATCTTGAAAATGTTCGACATATTTAAATAATTGTTAATTAATCGAAAAAAAACGTATGTTGTAGTCTAACAGTAAAGAGTATAAGTTATATGTACCGTTCTCTTCGAAATCCATTGTTAGACTGACTCGTATATCCTCTCGGTGAGTTCTTTTATTGAATATTATTTATATGACTTTCCGAAGGCTATATGTGTACATAAGAAAAATAATATTCCGATTTCTTTTTATATATAAGGAAAGTCACATAAACAAAAATCAATAAAGAAGAATTTTCAAATGACTTTTGTAAACAACAACGAGTCAGTTTACTGTTGGATTTTCGTAAGAGACAACGCACACATTTATATTTTTTTTATTACACTTTCTTTATTCTTTTTATTCATAATAAAATTTTCATATTATTAATGTAATAGAAATTAATAATCCAACGTAACTAATATAATTCGTTGATTATGAAATTATTATTATTATACATAATTTTTTAATAAAATTAAGATAATATTTTTGAATCTTTTTAATAAAAAGTGTACGAATGTATTTGATTTTTTTCTAAGCATACTAAGTATAATATACACGTTTTATTATTAAATTAACTGACCGAATTTTCTATAACTTTGATTCTTTTTTTTAGTATATGTAGAATAAAAAAAAGAAAACAAATCGTAAAATAAAATAGGTTGCGTTGTTTAACAAGTTCTATCATAAAGTATCGCGAGTTTTTTTGTTTAAAGTTCATCGATGCAGTTGCAAGATCCACTACAACAATAAGCAACAAAGTTATAATCCAACTGTGAGTTATCGTACATATATACATTTTATATATATATATATAAAAATAGAGAAAAATAATTTTTCATAATATTCCATTCTTTTCTACTTTGCATGATAAAAATGTATACATATATATATATATAAAACGTATATCAAACTTTATCGGCAGATTCGAGCGAACTAAAAGTATCTATCGAGTTTGAAAATTTCACTTAATTTACATCCCAATGCCCTAACTCTCTCCTCACCCCCCTCCCCCATTCCCCTCCCGACCCCCCATTCCCTTCGTAGGTCGTGACAACGATCGATCAAAATTTTTACTAAAGAAAAGAGATAATCAATTGGTCGTTGAATGAAACGATGTTATTAATCATAATGACAGTTTATAAAGCAGACTTAAAACCATAACAGTCATTTCTTTTGTCATAAACGATGACAAATCCATAATCCAACAGGAAACGCGTATTAAGAAAAGAACATTATTTTTTACATTTGTGTGTGATTTCTCTTATATCATATCTTAGATCATATATCTATGTGATAACAATACATTAATGCAAGTTGCACATTAGTTAGGTTGCTTTTTTCTAATGGACATTCTAATCGAATAATTGATATTCTTTCATTCTAATCGTCATACGATTTTATTTCTTGAATGTCAAATTTTTATAAATTACAATCGAGTTTCTTTCTTTCTTTTGTCATTCTTTTTTTTTTTTTTTTAATACTTGCGATACTGAAACAATTTTTGAAAAGGATATTTT